TTATTTATGAGTGTTAGAATTATGTGAAGTTTTGATTTTTTGCCGTCAGTTTGTGTTCGCTATTGTACTTGAAACAGGCGACATACTTTTACAATGCAACAAATCTGAATCACCGTGATTTGTCTGTCTGCAGAAAAACGTCTGTAAACTTAAGGCATCATTTTTTCACATAAAACAACATTTCAACTATCAAAAGTAAGATTCATATGTATTTTAATGGCCTAATTAGGAAGATACTTATTGAATTTGCAGTCAAAAGTCAAGGTCGTAAATTCATACATTCTGTCTTTTGAGCTTCTGCAATGAAATTTTATACATGTACCATAACTCCCAATGGCCCTCTCTGCCCCTCTCAAATGTGTCCCGCCCTGATTTTCTTTATTTTGGTCAATTTTTTTTCTTAAAAAGTCAATTGGAAATTGTTGGCATTGCTGAAAAATGAAGATAACGAACAGTATTCAATCTCAAAAGTCCAATGAAATGATACGAATTAGGAGCAGAGCAAATCAAAATTTAGAGGTGGGATCAGGTGCCATGGAGGACTGAGCATCTCCTGCCTGCCGTGTGCTCCTTGTCATGATCAGGAAACAAAAACCTGAAATATCTGTAGACAGTTCAGTGTATAAATAATGGCCTAACAATCAGTATGAAAAACATCAGTCAGCATTTGACTCATGACAGGTTGTATGTGCTGACAAGGTCATTGTATTGACCAAAAAACTTGCAAAAAGATGACTTCAAACAAGACTGTTGATATCCTTGTTTCGTCAACTTCTTTGTCAATAGCTTGCCTCGTTTAAGAAATTGTTCAGAGCAAATTGTACGTAGAGCATGCTCTTGCAACTGAAAGACATTAACCCCATATGCATGTGATAATGGTATATTGCTACATAAGTAAGGGAAGTTGACAATTGAAAAGTTGAAGTCATCACGTTTATCATACAGCTTTGTTGTTAGGTTACCATTAACGTCTTTTTCTAGTAAAATATCTAAATATGAAACAGATGTGTCAGAATCTGTGGTATTTTTTATTTCAAGCTCACTGGGATATATCGAGTCGACATATGAATGAAGTAACTATTGTTAATTGATAATGCGTCATCGGTATATCGAAATGTTGAGTTGAAGGCCACGTCAGCAAGTGTTTTCTTCTTCTCATATAGAAGTTTTTGAATAGATTCTGCTTCATATGAATACAAAAATAGGTCTGTTTATAAGGGGGCGCAATTGGAACTGATGGGAATTCCAACAGATTGTTGGAAGACCTGATCTCTAAAAACTACATAGATATTATCAATCAGAAACTCAAGCATCTTTTCAATATCAACTTCAGAGTACTTGTGTGTACAATCAGAGTGCTTTTTAACAAAATAATTTTGTAAATGACCAGTGACAAGGTAAGTATATTTACAAGTTCCAATTTTATTGAAAAAGTAGCTGTCTATGATGTCAAAAAGCCTGGACTTCAATTTATCATGGGGAATGGTTGTATAAAGTGTTGAAAAGTCGTAAGTTTTGATGCTATTGATTTTAGTAAAATTTTGATTTCAAATTTTCCAAAAGTTCTTTGGAGTTTTTAAGTATCCACATCTGATTTACACCACTTCTCAAATATACTGTTGAATAGTACTCCTAAAGTTTCTCCTTCATTACAGTAAATATTTTAGTGAGGAGTAAAGAAAGAGGCTTGGTAGAACATTTACTGGAACCCGCTATGTATCTTTGTTTGTAAGGATTTTTATGAAGTTTCGGAATCCAATATAGATATGGTAATTCAAATTCATTTTGATTGTTGGGAATATTAAAATTATCTAAAACAGACATAGGATTTTGAAAAATTTCCTCCTAGAAAGGGAGCTATGGGTGTAAGTTGGATTTCCACCTGTAGAATTAAATCCTAATTCCTCTAAAATACAATTCAAATAATGAGCCATACAAACAAAGACTATGTTGTTACCAGCTTTGTCAGCTGGGACCAGTACATACTGGTCATGTAATCTATGTAATTCCTTTTTCACTTCTGAATTTCTAAAAACAGAAGCCCCTCAATAGCTTAATGCGAGATTTCAACATCCATCTGATGCTCTGGACTTAATCCATTCTGACAAAGTGTCAAGGTCTTCTTTTTTGTGTTTGGCCCATCGCCTGTCGTAATCTTCCACAGAATTCATAATATTTATAAAATTATGATGTTTTCATAAAATCATTATTACTTTAAACGTTTTTTAAATCTGGAATGTTTCCCAATTTGGCCAATTTCTTTGGAAGCAGTGGTGTCCGGATTAGACAAGTTTTAGTTTTACTTTATATACATTTAATAACACTGCAAATTCAGGGGGGGGGGGGGGGGAGGGGATATTCTCTGAATTACCTTGTTTATTTTGCTTTGTTTTATTTCATCTGAGATAGGTGCAATTTGAAAAGTAGATATTTTTCTTAAATTTTGCAATTTTGTTTAAACTTCTTTGTAAAATTTGTTTTAATTTCTTCATAAAATACAATTGTCTAAAATTTTTTGTCTATATATTAAAGATTGCATTAATTTTTATGGTTTTGGCTATTTCCCTTGGATTCCAGTGCAAAAGAGACATTAAATTCAAAATTTTCTTACCCTTAACCATAAATACTATATATGAAAATCAAAATTGTTCAACTGTTCCAAAGACGCTGAAAATGGTCAAACGTTTAACATCAATGAACAACGATGGATAAAACAAGAGGCCAATGGGCCTTGAATCGCTCTTCTGATAAACTGTACAACCTATCACTTCTATTTGAAGCCTTGAAGTATCCTGTATATTTACATAAACCCTTGAAATTCCAATTCACACTCTGAGAACCCAAGATGATTCTAAGCCAATTAGTACCTGAGAGTTGGTCATGGTGACCTACTTATCACTTGTCATTCTCTGAGGACCCATCAACTAAGTTTGATGATTCTAAGCCAATTAATACCTAAAATATTTTTTAAAATTATAATCATAAAATTTTATAAGTAGGTCAAAGTGACCTACTTTTCAATTGTTTTACTCCAAGGACCCAAGATGCATCAACTGACAAAGTTTGATGATTCTAAGCCAATTAGTACCTGTAATATTTAATTAAAGCCATAAATTTTCAAAAGTGGGTCACCGTGACCTACTTTTCAGTTGCTGTACTCCAAGGACCAAAGATACATCGACTGACAAAGTTTGATGATTCTAGCCAATAAGTACCCAAAATATTTAATTACAGCCATAAATTTTCAAAAGTAGGTCACTGTGACCTACTTTTCAGTCAACCTACTCCAGGGACCAAAGATGCATCAACTGACAAATTTTGATGATTCTAAGCCAAATAATTCCTGAAAATATTAAATACAGCCATAAATTTTCAAAAGTAGGTCACCGTGACCTACTTTTCAGTTGTTGTACTCCGAGGACCCATGACGCATAAACTGACAAAGTTTTATGATTCTAAGCCAATTAGTACCCGAAATATTTTATTAAAGCCATAAATTTTCAGAAAGTAGGTCACGGTGACCTACTTTTTAGTCGACCTACTCCGAAGACCCATGACGCATCAACTGACAAAGTTTGATGATTCTAAGCCAATTAGTACCCGAAATATTTAATTAAAGCCATAAATTTTCAAAAGTAGGTCACAGTGACCTACTTTTTAGTCGATCTACTCTGAAGACCCAAGATGCATCAACTGACAAAGTTTGATGATTCTAAGCCAATTAGTACCCGAAATATTTAATTAATGCCATATATTTTCAAAAGTAGGTCACTGTGACTTACTTTTTAGTCGACCTACTCTGAAGACCCAAGATGCATCAACTGACAAAGTTTGATGATTCTAAGCCAATTAGTACCTGAAATATTTAATTATAGTCATATAAATTGAAAAGTAGGTCACGGTGACCTACTTTTCAGTTGACCTTTTTTGAGGACCCAAGATGCATCAACTTACAAAGTTTTATGATCATAGGACTTAAAATGTCCAAATTATGCCTCTAAAACGCTTTGAAATCGAATGCCTGCAAAGTTCAAAAAGTAGGTCACTGTGACCTACTTTTTAATAAATATGTTTTATGGCCCCAAGAGGCATCATCTTACAAGATTTAATGATTCTAAGCCTCCCCGTATTCGAATTAATGACCTTAATTGTTTTAAAAAAGATTAGCCATAAAATTCAAAAAGTAGGTCAAGGTGACCTACTTTTTAAGTGATGTACTTTGACGACCCAAGATGCATCAACTGACAAAGTTTGATGATCATAGGCCTTAAATTGTTCAAAATATGCCTCTAAATCATTATGAAAAAGAATGGCCGCAAAATTTGAAAAGTAGGTCACCGTGACCTACTTTTGAGTCAACATGATATGAGGTCCTTAGATGCACCAACTGACAAGATTTGATGATCCTAGTCCTTATAGTAAGCAAAATATCAGCATTTTAATAAAATGTAATTTTTGGTCAACTTTGAAGTGACCTTGAGACCACGCCCTTTGCCCCAGGGTAAATCCCCTTGCAAATTTTAATCTACAACATATCCTCATCCTTTTGTGTAAGTTTGGTGATAATCTGCCCAGTGGTTCTTGAGAAGAAGATTTTTTAGCAACCAGTACTTTTGTTTCTATTTTCCTAATTATCTCCCCTTGTTAAAGGGTCACAACCCCAGTTTTAGTATAAAAGGGAGCCCTTGGGCCAAGGATACCCTGTGACAAATTTGACAATAATTGGCCAAGGGGTTCTTGAGTTATGGCCCATATTCTAAAAAGTTTACGCACACCGCACAAATGGCCATAGCATTAGCTCTTTGAGCCTTTGGCTCAGAAGAGCTAAAAATAGATAGTAATAGGTCACTTGAGTTATTCAGCTAACCCAAAAAATAAATGTTTAAATATTAACATATATACTGCAAAAAGGATGATACAACTGACATTATCTGGCCAACTCAGGTAATGGAAAAATTCTTGAACTACAGGTATTTACTATAATGTAAAGAATATTTTACCTTTTTCAAATACGATGTCATTTGGTATAAAAGAAATATCTTCCTGTAATTCCAGACACGGATGACGAGCATCAGACAGCTGAATTTTTCCACTGCCTTTGTTCAACAGTTTTGGACAAACAAACGGTATTGGAGCACTTGCTGCTGAAACAGCAAAACTGACCAACACATCCAGTTGAGCTATCAACTCATTCAACATGATCATGGTCTCACAATACCCAGCTACAAAAAAGAAAAAAAAAAAAAAACTATATAATTATACATTAGTAACTATGTTTTGTAAAGAGTTAGGTTTATTTTATGCACAAATTGGCATTGTCAGTACTATACAACTCCTCTAAACTGCCCAGCTGCCAGTCCAAATGATGTCAGATTAGAGGGGTGGCAAGTTTAGAGAATTTAGAATGTAACTAGAAAACTGGCCAGTCAGCAAGGCCCCTGCAAAGGGATATTTATCTACAGGTGGTGCTAATGAGATGGAAAGTAAACAAGAAGTCATTCAAAGTTCAATTCAACAGCAACACATTTTTTTTTTTAATTTATTTTGGTTTAATGTCTAATATCTACTTGGTCACCAGAAAAACTGTGCAGCTTGATTTTTACTTGGGCTGTGCAATAATACCGATATTCCGGTATATTGCGGCATGTTGACAAAAAATATTGTAAAATTGCAATACGTTTCTGTAATACTGATATACCGGCATAATGCTTGGGCTCAGGAATTCTATCATAAAATATAAAGGAAAGTTGTCAGCAAGGTTTGTGATCATGCCAAAAAGTAAGACAAAAGCTGTTGTTAGGGTGTATTTAGTTGCATAACTGTAATTCAAACAACAAGATATCTTTTATTGGTTATTTATCACAGTTATGTACATTCTACAAGTTAATATAATAAGAAAATGCCATTTAATTCTTTGTTGCAAATATTGCAATACATATCGCAATACAGTTAAAAATATCGCAATATATCGCAATACAAAATCTCTGACCAAGACCCAGTCCTATTTTTCACCTTATGAACTTGAAAGATTACATACCAAAGACACTGATCAATGCTTGCACTATATATCAGATATATTGAATTGTTTTAGATGCTAAATAGTTGCTTCAAATACTGTCTAAATGCTTTGATGTATTATATTAAATTTGAACATTTTGATTGTAATGAGGAGTAAAACCAAAATAGCACACTACTGTATATAATATATGTCTTGATTACAGAGAAATTTCATAATAAATACATGTACGAGATATTATTTTCAACATACATGTACATAAATTTATAAATGAGCATAAACGCACAAATGCACTTGCAGACAGAAAAATATGCTTTGCACATCGTTTGTTGACAAAAAGCACATCCAAATACAGTGCGGTCTCGTTACTATGATGTTCATTTTGTTAAGGTAAAATATCATAATACTGAGGGCAACGTAATAAAAGTTCCCAATAAAATCCATTAAAACATTGTTTTGAAAGGCTATGTTATCTGTGTATTGAGGTGTATTTTTTCCATTCTGTTTTCTTCTTCTGTTCTACCTTACATATCTTAGTTAAAACACTTTGACACCTTAATTTATTCACAACTTATCTTGTAAATGCATATTTCTTCATGCTGTTGAACTCCTTTTGCTTTATTTCTAATGCAGCAATCATATTTTGTAGTAAACATAGGCTATGTGTATTCATTCCCACAATCCTGCCATTTTCTTTTACTTTCACTTTCATGTGTACTTAGACAATGCGTTCATGAAAAGTTAACTGAAAAAGGTTTCGTGTTCAACATACGTTCAACCGAAACATTGGTTATTTTTTTGTCCCCCGCTTTCACTGAAAGTGGGGGATATTAATTTGGGTCTGTCTATCCATCCATCCATCCGTCTGTATTTCTGTCTGTCTGTAACACTTTCGTTTCCATGCGATATCTTGAGAACCTTTTGAGCTTTCACAATGAAACTTTGCATAGCAACTCCTTATGAACTAAAGAAGAACCCTATTAATTTTGAGGTCAAAAGGTCAAAGGTCAAGGTCATAAATTCACAAATTCCGTCTGTGTGTAACACTTTCGTTTCTGGGTGATATCTCAAAACGCTTTTGAGCTTTTGCAAAGAAATTTTATACCAAAACTCCCTATGGCATCTCTTGCCCCTCTCAAAGTGTCCCGCCCTGTTTTTTTTTTAATTTATTGTATATTTAAAAGTCACTTGGCACTATTTTTAGCACAGGGGCATGTGGAGAGTTATTACGTATAATACAGGTTGTCGGCCCACTTTATATTCTAATTACATCTATTAGAACTGTTTAGTAAAGGCTAAATTAGACAATATTTAATATGTAAAATTTTGACAATATCGAATGTGAATATAAACATTATACGTGACCTAATGTTTGCATTAAATCAGATTTAACTCAATATGAGTCATATTATGAAATGAGTAGATCAACTTCTTGTTACATAGTCAAAGAAGCATAACTCTTACGACATTATCATTACTGACGTTTGTGTAAAAATGTTAAAGTTTAAGATTTGTTGATTCTCATTAGTTCAGAAATGTAACACAAATCTTCATGGGCATTTTCAGAAAATCTTTGTTCTTGTAGGGAAAAGAGAAGCAGTTCATAAACGATGTTGATGAGTTGAGATCAAAAGATAAAAAACTCTCCAAAAAAATTCGGGCTCTTGAAAAAACAAACGAAAGAAATGAAAATATGAATGATATTCGATCAAAGGATCTGAACGATGAAATTCTGGAAATTCCAAATGGAGAACCAAGAAGAATCTTGGAATTGACCATTTCTGCTCGAAAATGCTTGATAGCCCTCAATGCTGTTGCCCTATTGCTAAACAGACTTTTCTCCTAGACTGGAATTAAAAACTGTTCCATTTCTGCCCCCCCCCCCCCCCCCAAAACACTTTCAGGGATCGACATTAACGGTTGTCCGATTGCCCGGGACAAGTAAATCATCAGTTTGGGCAAGTGAAATTGTTGATGCACTTGTCCGATAGGGCAAGTGAATTTTTTTCATTCATATGTACATATTTATTTAGTTTACATTCATTTATAAATAAAACATTAATTGAACACTTTATTTCTGCAACGTACCTGACCTGTTTTTGCATTCGGAATCCCTTGCTAGCGTTTCTGTATTATACTGTTCATTTAAAAATCAGGTTCATTATTTTCTTTCGTAGTAAATACACTCTACGTCTAACAAAATTTTGTTAACTTCTTATTAGGAAATTAGATTATTTATCACGCACAAAATATAAGTACAGTGTAACAGGATGTATCCTGATTAAGATAAGATGTATGTTTCGTACCAACTATCTTCCCCTAGAGTTGCTTCATAGTTATCTCTGAAAATCGCGATTCACAAAACGATCCTACCAAAAATAATTTTTAATGAATTTTATTAAAAGGAAATGGAGGGTTAATGCTGCATGGCAGTGTGTGCTTACAGGTTTAATTTACAAGTACAGTGGTATACATTTATGTACAAATGCAGCATCGCAATTTTTTCAAGTAGCTCAACTTGCCAAATTGACAGTAGTGTATTTGGTCACATTTTTTCTTATCATAACGTTTACAGTAATATTGATTGATTGATTGTATGTTGTTTTATGTCCCATTCGAGAATTTTTCACTCATATAGAGACGTCACCATATACCGGTGAAGGGCTTCAAATTTTGACCTTTACTCGGCACTTAGGGCCATTGAGCAGTGAGGGATCTTTATCGTGTCAACGCCTGCCATGACACGGGGCCTTGGTTTTTAAGGTCTCATCCGAAGAACCCGCAACTTTCACTTCAAAGTGTCGAGCGCATGGCGAAGGAACAGTTGCTACCCATTTTTTATCAACTTAGGTCAGTCGTGACCGATATTCGATCTCACGACCTCCCGATCACGAAGCGGTTTACAGTAATAAATAATTTTCTTCTTTCCTAATTTGGGCAACCAAGTTTTGTATTCGGACAAGTCAAAGTTTGAGATCACTTGCCCGAAGAACAAGTGAATCTGAAAGTTAAGGAGGCTGGGGGGTCAACAAATTAACCACCAGATTTAACTTAATTTTTTAGATATGATATCTTAAGCTGTCAACTATCATTTGGCAAAGAAAAATTTCAAAAATTTTAGTTTTAAAATTTGATCATTTTCTATATCTTCATATGGAGCTCTTCTTCTAAAGGAGATCAATATAGTCTAAAAATGGCCACAACCCCCCAGCCTCTTTAATGTCTATCCCTGACTTTGAAATATGCTGAGGAAGGACCCCGCCTTCCTCTTGACCAAGTAAGGTTTAAGATTCTGCAAAGAGTCGTGTTTGAAATTTTTCATAATTTTACCAGGAATGAACTACATGTACATGAGAAATTCAAAACATTCAAAAAGTTGCAAGTAAGTGGTAAGGCAATTGCAAGTCTTCAATTCTATGAAAATGTGTTGCCATTTGAATGCTGTTTTTTTTTTTGTTATTAAAAGAAGAGGGAGCTCAAATTCAGCTAATATCATTTCTTTATGTCTGTCTGTAAACAGTGTTTCAAGATACTTCAACTCTTTCTAGTTTGTCACTTTAAAAAGAGTAAAATAAGATATACATGTATACATAATTATGGTTATCAACTTATCAGAGCTGTTTACTTTAAAAAAACCATTTTGTTGCCATTGTTGGAAAACAAACAGAAATTTTGTGAAATCTTTCAAGATGCTGTATTATAAAATATTTTCTTTTACAGTTTTTTGCTTGATTAGACTTCTTGCATTTTCTTGAATAAAAGTGAATAATAATATTGCATTTTTTGTATACAAATAAGCAAGAATATTCATGAATAGTTCATGAATTTTATTCATTCATGAGCATTCCTGAATAAATTTTATAAATTATTCATGAACAGTTCATGAAGATGCAATGAACTTATTATTGGACAATTCTTAAAATGATGAATCTTTATGAATATGACTCTTCATGAATTATTCATGAAAAAAATATATTCATGAATATTCATCAACTTTCTTTCTTGAATAAGAATTCATGCTTTGAAAATCTCCAATAATAAGTTCATAGGATCTTCATGAACATTTTATGAATAAAATTCATGAATAATTCAAGGATAATCATGAATTATTCATGATCATCTCGCAGGGGTAAGGAAGACTCTATTGATTTTGAGGTCAAAAGGTCAGAGTTCAAGGTCGTAAATTTATACATTCCGTCTGTGTGT